CCAGGTGTCATGTTTATACACTTTGGTTTTCAGGCAGAAACAGAACAAGAACATGAAGCGCTGGTGCTCAGAGAAGTCTCCCCAGTTATTTCAGGGAGGAAGAGGGGGAAAAAGACAGTGGAGAGTGATTTACTACAAGTGACTCATCAATTCACCAACTGAAGCTGAACACACTGGGCCAGGCCAGTTGAGATAAGAACATGGCTGAGGTCAGATATTGCAGGAAGTGAGTGGTATGGGGGGCGGGCAGAGGAATTTTCTCTGTGTGTTATGATGACAGACATGGAAGCAGAACAGTCCCCTGCCAACGTTGTTCATGAACTAAAATGTTCTGAGAATCTCAGCCCAGTCCCCTTGAGCCTAACATTTCCTTCATTATATGATATTTTCCAACAGACTGTGACAACCTGGCTTCCCAAAACACACAAAAGAAGAAATGGGCCAAAAGCAAAAAATCTTCATTACCAAAAAAAGATGAAAAAGTTATCTACAGAGTAGTGTATATACACCAAAAAGATTCTTAGTAGCCATTTGATGGGTACAAATGATTACACAATTAGGGTTGTAGGTAATCAGTATTTGTAACTCATTGCAGAAAACACTAGTTTCATCTCCCATACAGAGGTCTGACTTCATTCCACTGTTCTTTGCGTGAATGAAAAAGATAAGGTTGAAAAGTTAATTCTCCCTAATTTGTAAATTTCATCTATTTGATGGAGAAGGAGCAAAAAAGGGCCACTCCTTTATCCTCTGAAGGAAAAGGCATCCCAGCATTTAAGAGTGTTACATAATACTAAACCAGTAACCCATTTACAGAGGAAATGTGGGTGAAAAAAACATAGACCAGAATTGGGCTTCCAAAATGTTATAAACAGTGAAAGGAATAAAAATTGAATTAGGATAGAAAAAAAAAACCCTCTGATGTTTTGTTTATGAAAAATAAAAACAAATACTCTTTATTAAGTCTGGACATCTTATGAAGGCCACATTTTTTAGCCTCAGGCATTAATTATGGTTGCACCACTGACAGAGGAAGCAGATTCAACCCGCTTCATCCTGAGGCCAGAGAGCATCCACAAGTTCACAGAATAATTAATTATCTCCATTTTATTATACACCAGAGTAAACAACAAACCAAAACATTGGGCTACATTAAACAAGCTAGTCAAGCCTGAAATGTAGGTCTATATCTTCGCTCACCATCTAAAAAGCATTATACATGCTGAGAAATGTGCCTCTCTCACATTCTTCCAAAGGGCTGAGCTTCAAGATGAGTTTAGTAATAAATCTCTAAGAATTATTGTTTTTCCACTACTTACTTTTTAAGGAAGGAGATTGGAGGCTAGTTCCTAAACATTCTCTGTTATTATTGTGGATTCTGTAGAACTTCATAAACTTATGGTGTTTTTAGCAAGACCTCTTCATTGGCATGTCATTGTGCCATTGGCCACAATCTATTCATCATTATCAATAATAAGCAATATCAAGAAGTACCATTCTTATCTGGGAGGTCATTGGTGTGAACTGCTCAGGTTCTGGTAGGTAGGAGGAGTTGGAAGGAGGGATAAGAAAGAACACCGGCTAAAGCAGCTCCGGAGACACATTTTGTATTCCTTTGCTAGGGCCGCCATAACACAGTATCACAAACCGGGGGGCTTAAACAATGGAAATTTATTGCCTTATAGTTCTGGAGGCCAGAAGTCCAAGATCAAGATGTCACGCCGGGCGCGGTGGCTCACGCCTGTAATCCTAGCACTCTGGGAGGCCGAGGCGGGCGGATTGCTCAAGGTCAGGAGTTCAAAACCAGCCTGAGTGAGACCCCGTCTCTACCATAAAAATAGAAAGAAATTAATTGGCCAACTAATATATATAACATAAAAATCAGCCGGGCATGGTGGCTCGTGCCTGTAGTCCCAGCTACTCGGGAGGCTGAGGCAGGAGGATCGCTTGAGCCCAGGAGTTTGAGGTTGCTGTGAGCTAGGCTGACGCCACAGCACTCACTCTAGCCTAGGCAAGAAAGCAAGACTCTGTCTCAAAAAAAAAAAAAAAAAAAAAGATGTCAGCAGGATCGGTTCCTTCTGAGGGCCATGATGGAAGGATCTGTTCCAGGCCTCTCTCCTTGGCCATCTTCTCCCTGTGTCTCTTCACCTGGTCTTCCTTCTATGTGTGTCTCTTTCTCTACATATCATGTTCTTTTTATAAGGATACCAATCACACTGAATTAGGAGCCCACCCTAATTAATATGACCTCATCTAATTACTTCCACAAGGACCCTATTTCCAATAAGGTCATATTCTAAAGTACTAGGTGTTAGGACTTCAACATATGAAGAAGGGGAGAAGGTGGGGTACAGAATTCAGCCCACAACAACATGCATGAGATAACACTTGTCCCAGTGGGTGGCCCTTACTTTCTCGAGCTATCATTTGGAGCAGGTATTTTGCATTTATCACCTTATTTAATCACCACATTCCTCTCTTAATCTGCTAGGGTTGCCATAACAAAATACCATAGACTGGGCGGTTAAAACAACAAAAATTCATTTCCTCACAGGTCTGGAGGCTAGAAAGTTCAAGATCAAGATCCAGCAGGATTTGGTTCCCAGTGAGGACTCTCTTCTTGGCTGATAGGCAACTGCTATCTCACTGCATGCTCAGATGACCTCTTCTTTGTCTGACCTCTGTTAGAAAAAGAACTCTGCTGTCTCTTCCTCTTTTTATAAGGGCACTACCCCTACTGGATTAGGGCCCCACCCTTATTTAACCTTCATCATTTCCTCACAGGCCCTATCTCCACATATAGTCACACTGGGGTTAGGGCTTCAGCATATGAATTTTAGGAGGACACAATTCAGTCCATAGCACTCCCTAATAGAAGACATTATTACCCTCATTTTATACAAAACTGAGGCATTGAGAGTTTAACCTCTAGTTTCCACGGCTAGAATTAGTGTAGAATGCAAGTAGGTTTGACTCCAAAAACCCATTTCTCTGTCCACTATGCTGGGTGTTCCAAACTAGGACCCAAAATGGGGAAGTCTGCACATGATGTTCAATTACTTCTATCACTGGGAGAAGGGAAGAAATAGAAAACCTGCTTCTATTACACTGAATTATATTAATACAAACTTGTCATTTATGGGATGCAAGTTCAAATATGGGTAATTTCACAGAGTTCAACCCATAATGAGAAAAGGGAAATTCAGGAAGGCCTTTCAGGTGTCTATAGCCAGCAGAGGGGCATGGCCCACCTGGGTGGGGGTCGTGTTTCCTTGCTTCATACCCCACTACCCACTGTGTGGCCCTTCCCCAACTCCCGGATGTCACAAGGAACTCTGGCAAGCAGGGAGACTGGACTATAGAGCCAGACCTCCTGAGTTGAACCTGGGTTTAAATCTCAGCTTGACTTCTTACTAAGACCTGGGGCAAAGTGTTTAATCTCTGCATGCCTCAGTTTCCTCATCTGGAAATAGAGGTAATAATTCTCTTCCCTCATACTATCTTAGTGAGGACTGAAAGACTTAATACATGTCAGGAGTTTTAGGTCCCAGCCTGGCACCATGCTTTATAAACGTTAGTTATCAGCATGGTTATTCTTTTTTGAATTAAAAGGAAAAGGAAAAATACCTATCTTAAGGACAGAAGGCTTTAAAATGGTCCCATGTTCCTTAACCAAATTGAGCCATCTTTAAGTTAAGAACCATGTGATTTCCAACATTGACATGTATTCGGGGATGCTGGAAACTAATTTTCTGACATCAGTTTAATACAAACTATGCTCAGCTGTTTTCTGCCCTTGGGATGGAGGGTCCACACCTAGGATACCTGCACTGGAATCCAACAGTGAGCTCTGTATTACATACAAAAGGGCACATGATGATGAGGCTAGGTCCATTATTCTCCCTCTCCCCATCCTATTTCCTCCTTCTTCCTCAAGGTCTAAAAGTTTATTGAACTGAAGGTTCAGGAATGAGTTACTCAACTAGGCTTGCAGTATAAACTGGCCAGGCTTTGGATCTATTTGCTCCTTTTCATCCAGTATATCAAATGGCTGCTCCAGGTAAATGTCCCCCTTTTGGTAGGGCGGGAAACAAGAGAGAGGGAGGGGTAATAAAACCAAAATTTAGAATGACTGCTGTCCTATATGGTGCAGGAATATATGTTCTGAGGGTGGGAGTGGGGGACGAGGAGGGGATGGATGTTGGTGAGATCAAAATTAAAGAAGATTCAAGTCCTACATCCTAGTATCTCGTCGAAGTATAAATGCAGGTTACAGACGAGCTATCATAATACAAAGCCCTAATAACCTCCCCTCATAACCTCAAAGCCCCCTGGATGTTCCACACCAGACGCTGGCCCCTGGCGGGTAAGGAGGGAGGGGTCCTCACGCAGACGTTGACCTGGAGACCCCTGCTCCCTCTCTTGGGGGCCCGCTTGCCTACAGCTGACGCAGTAGGGGAGGAAAAACCTTCCAACTCTCTCTTCTTTCTCAGCTGCAGGGAGAGTCGCATTGACACCCCTGCCACCCAGTTGCAAGAAGTCGCAACTTCCCCTCCAGCAGGCTGAGAGCTTGGGCGACGTCTGGGCCGTCATTTGAATGCGTTTCCTTTTCTTTACGAACAAAGGTTGGAGCCCGAGCCTGGCAGCGCGGGGGCAGGAAAGTACACGGCGTGCGTCAAGAGAAAACACACACACACACACACACACACACACACACACACACACCCCGAATGACCCACGAGAAAGGGAAAGGGGGAAAACACCAATCCCCGGGGCGCTGGGCTTTTTCGACTTTTCCTTTAAAAAGAAAAAAAAAAAAGTTTTTCAAGCCGTAGGTTCCAAGAACAGGCAGGAGGGGGGCGAGGCGGGGGGTTTTACAGAAAAGGCGCCTGGTCGGTTATGAGTCACAAGTGGGTTATAAAAGGGTCGCACGTTCGCAGGCGCGGGCTTCCTGTGCGCAGCCGAGCGCGGGCGCAGCGCCGCCGGCCACCTCGGGCCGCCTGCAGCCTCGGCGAGGGACCGGCCCGCGGAGCCCCGAGCCCGCAGCAGACGACGCGCGGGGAGAGGAAGGAAACCGCCCCTGGCCCGGCAGGTACGCCGACTTCGCTCTTGCCCTGCCGCCCGCCCTCCTCTCTAACGAGGCAGGGACGCGGCGGGGCCGCGGGGCGACCGTCCCCGGCGGCCAGACGCGCAGGGCGGGGGCTGCGCGCACGTGGCGGCGGCGGCGCCTGCGGCAGCGCGCCCGGGACAGGGGGTGTCGCCTCGCCGGGGACCGGAGCTCGCTCGGGACGCATTCCCGGCGGGAGAGGCAAGAGGAAGGAAGGGTGTTAAAAACCCATTACTTGAGCTTCTTGGCAAAGTTTCCGTAGATGGTGGAGGAGGTACCTGGGATTGACCCTAGAGGAGCCTAGCTTTATGGAGCGGCCAGAGAAGTGTGCAAAACACACTTGAGGGGCAGGGTGGATCAAAAGAGACTGCCTTCGAAACATATGCCTTCCTTATTTTGTCTCGAAAAATAACTAATAATCTATCTTAATTTTACATAGCTAAACTCATAGTATTTAGATATCACCCTTTGTTTAATGGAGGTGAAGACTGAGAAACATTCAGTGAGATTCTGTATTTATTTGCTCCCAATGTGCCAGGGTGCGTTTTTGCCAAACACATTCGTTGTCTTTCTTAATCCTCACAAAACCTCAGTGGGTGCCCATCATCCACGTTATACAGCTCTAGAGGGTGGGCGAGGTCTTTCGAAGTTTATATCCTCTAATGCAGGCATGTTGGGATGATTACAAATACAGTTTATCCTGGAAATACTGAAGTTGACAGCTGAGAAAAATATAAGAATCCAAACTATGTTAAAAATTAGGCAACCAAGGCCCAGAGAGGTGAAGCTACTTCTCCAGCATCACACAGCAGATCTGGGACCCTGTGCGATTTGAAGAGGCCAATTACATCTAATGATGCTCGTAATTTAATTTATATTTTGTGTCAAATAGATGAGGTCAAGCAGACATTACCTAGATATTTCAAAGCCAAAGTTAATGCTTGTCACCTCCATTCACCTCTCCAAAGAAATGGCTCTTTTATATGGGTTTAACAAAATGTATAATCTAAATAAACTAGGGCAGCCAAACTTTTAATAATTGTAGGACTGATCTTTTAAAAAGATATGCGTAAAGTATTTAATTGCTTATCTGTGTGAACAGTAATAGAAGCCATAAAGTTTTCAAAGCAATTTCCTGCCTGTTTTCTAATTTGATAGTGACAATGATAGGAAATTGCAGGGTATGTGGCGGTATCCCCATTTTGCCCATGAGGAGTTTGTGGCTCAGAAAATTTGAGTTTTCTCTGGTAAGGTCATTAGGTCCTTAGTGCGAAGCCTGCCTTCAGGCACGGATGTGGGATGTGGGAGAGGATGTGGGGTGCAGAGACTATAGGCTTTTGACTCTCGGGTTAGGCTGACTCCTGCAGCCTCCCTGATTTCTGTCAGAGGACCAAAGCGCAATTAATCACTTCTGCGCTAGGAGTACTCCTTGATGGGCTATAATAAGCAAGTTCCCTCACACAGTGGCTCAGCTCACCCTGGCCAGGGGACGTGCTTCCTAACCACACATATTAAGAAAGAGAAACACTAATACTGGCTAATTCCTACAGCTACTTCAAGGGAGAACAGTGGTGTTTGCACAAATGTTTGCTCTTGTTTTAACCCAATTATGTGTAAAAAGTACAACTTACTGGTCTTTACCAAAAAATCCCCATGTACCATGTTCTCTTTCTGTGAAGGCGTCATCACATTCTGCTTGTGTCAGACACTATGCTAGAGGCTGGAGAGACGAAGGTAAGCAAAGACATGTGCAGCCCTACTACCCTCATGAACCTAAAAAGTTGGAGGAAAGGCTAACAGGACATTGCTATGCAATGTGATAGCACTTCAATTATGGTGACATAAATACTTGCACTAATCAGTGCAAACATGGAAAATTCATTACCTTTATCTTTCTTCATATGTCATCAAATCAGTCTTGTATGAATCAAAAATTCCACCTCCAAATACCCTAGGTTTTAACTTTTGAAAAGTTTTTCCGTTTTTTATCAGCTATTTTATGTCAGAACTAAGATCCACCATTCAATTTAAAGGAGTTTTTTCATTTTAGAGTAATGGTTTTTAAAACCCTTTATTCCCACCTCTTTGGGAATCTAATGGAAGTTATATATGCTTTTCTCAGAATTTTTTTAGATGCACATGCTCACCCATAATTTTGCATTCAGCGGGCTAGAGGCTTCCTTCAATCTCAGCCATGAACCTTTTCAGGGTCCCGTTTCATAATCCTTTTTCTAAACCTACTAGGACTAAACAGTTTGAATAGAAGATTGAACACCTCTGTCCTTAACTAGTTGGTATTTCTCCATTTTTGTGAGTCATTGGCTGTTGCTTTGCTGAAGCTATTGATTTTAATAGCTTTATTGTCTTTTTGTTTTAGAGATAGGGTCTTACCCTGTTGCCCAGGCTAGAGTGCAATGGCACAGTCATAGCTCACTGAAGCCTCAAAATTCTGGGCTCAAGTGATCCTCCTGCATCAGCCTCCTCAGCAGCTGGGATTACAGGCGTGTGCCACCATACTTGGCTAATTTTTTTAATTTTTTGTGTAGATACAGGGTCTCACTATATTGCCCAGGCTGGTCTTGAACTCCTGGGCTCAAGCAATCCTCCCAAAGTGCTGTGATTATAAGTGTGAGCCACTGCACCTGGCCGAATTATTGTTTTGATGTTAGGCTTCCACTGTGCAGAAGCCCGGTATTGTGGAACGAGAACCAGCCTGAGAACCATGGCATGTTTCTAAAACCAGCTGTATGCAAATTCCTGTGCCTTATTTTCCTTATGTCTAAGATGGGTGGCTGAGACTGAATTGTTTCTAAACTCCCTTATACTTGTGAAATTCTATGATTCCCGTGTGACTACCAAACTCACTTTCATGTGTACCCTAATACACAGCTGGTCTTAGTGAATTTATTATATCCATTATGTCTAAAGAAAGTCAGAGTAAGCATCACTATAATTCACTGTAGAATGTATTTTTGTCTTTCACTTATCTTACTGGATTCAAAACTGTCACACATTTCCTAAAATTTAGAGTAAAAAACTGTGAAACACTATTTTTCAAGGAAAAATATTATAATTTTAAAATCCTCTTTTTATCTCACCTTTTATCTCACTGACTACAACTTTCTTATATATATGTATTCCTTTTTTTCTCAGAATCAAATTAAAACACTTTTAATTTGATCACTGCTGTGTAATTCTCACCTGCCATGAAACACTTAGGCTTTGTCCATCAGTCGGTGTCTCTGGGCTTATGATATTTAGGGCCTCAAGCAAAACAGCCTCAAAAGCGCACTTACCCTCAAATAAGCACCGCACATGTCTGAGCAGTTCAGCATCCTCACTCCAAACTCCAAGGCTCTCAGCAATGTAGAACACTTGATTCCTAAAATTACCACCCTTCCACATAGTGACACACTCGCCGGAAAACGGGGCTTAACATCAGTCAAGTGGCTGTAGTTTAACACAGAATGTGAATATCTGCGTTAATTCCAAAAAACCAATAGCTATGTGTGGGTAGACAGGGTTCCTGCACTGGCAGAAGGAAAGATGAGTGAAGAATATCAAACGACTGATTTAATGTACTCATGAAACTGATGTTTGGATAAGGTGAAACAATGATATACAATGACATTTGTGCCATTTCTTCAGAAATGAGTGTTCTATACAAAGTATAGGCTCCTGGCTGTCTTAACTAAATGCTCTGCTTCTTTATATGCTCACCCACTGTCAGGTAAGCTAACATAGTGGGTCCAAGCATGAGCACAGGTGCCAGATTGCCCAGGTGTGAGCCCCAAGAGTGCCCTTCTTTACCCAATGTTTAACCTTGAGTAAGTTACTTCAGCTGCCTGTGCCTCAGGCCACATGTAAATGGGGAGGGTGCAAAGGAATACTCATTGCTGAGGTTGTGGTGAAGAAGAAGTGAGTTAGTACCTACATCAAGCAGTCAGACAGGTGCCTGGCACAGAGGGAGCCTTATGGAAGTGTCTGACTATTATTATGTATAAATGGATGATCTTGTATATTTCAAGAAACCAATTTGGAAAGTGAGATACCAATACAGTCTGAGAAGGTAAAGTATACATGTACAATGTGGTCTCTCAAAATTCTTGACAGTAAAAAAGTTGTTTGGTTTTAGAGTTCTTAAGTTTCAGAATGCATTTTTCTCCTTAACCAAAAGAAAAACTAATGAAACACTTCAGAAAATTATTTCCAAGAAAACATTTTGGTGTACGTTTTAGCAGACACATTATGACTTAAAGGTTAGGATAAATCAAAGAATTATTTTAATTTGGCTTGTATATGCTTTTAGATAACCTCTAATTTATATAATGATTCAGTTATACAGTGGTAAATGTATCTGGACTTGTACTTCTCAAATGGCAAGTGTAACATGTGATAGGTGTGCAGGTACTTACAAGGTACTCAGCAAGTATTAATGACTGATGCCATTAGTACCATGGCTAACATCCATTAAGCCCTGATTATGAGCCTGGCACCTGGCTACATACTGTACATTGTCACTTCATCTTCACAAGGACTTTTCAAGTAGCTTCTATCATTATCTCTATTTTTAGAGAAGCAACTAAGACTGAAAGAGTTTAATTAACTTGCCAAATACCACACAGCTAGTAACATTGGTGACATCTGGAATGGAACCCAGGCAAGCTGAAAACAACAGAACAACCCCCAGCCACGCATGGTGGCTCACACCTGTAATCTTACCACTTGGGGAGGCTGAGGCAGGAGGATCGATTGAGGCCAGGAGGTTGAGACCAGCCTAAGCAACATAGCAAGACCCCCATCCGTACAAGAATGCAAAAATTACCCAGATGTGATGGGGTGCACCTGTAATCCCAGCTAGTCAGGAGGCTGAGGCAGGGGGACTGCTTAAGCCCAGGAGTTTGAGGTTGCAGTGAGCTGTGATGACACCACTATCCTTTAGCCCAGTCAATAGAGTGAGACTCTGTCTCAAAAAAAGAAAAGAAAACAACAGAGCAATGAACACCCGTACCTCTCATTAGATTCACTAATTGTTAACGTTTACCACATTTGCTTTATTTCTCCCGGTCCCTATCCATCTCTCTATGTCTACATCTGTATGCAGACGTGGCATATAACCTCTCAACAGCTTCAGCATGTATCTCCTAAGAACAAGCACATGGTCTTACACAATGAAAACACATGATTGTAAAATCCAAGTATGATTTTTAAAAATAGGGATAAAAGCTAATTTTTACCCACAAATCCAGATGATTATTTCACACCAACACGTCTTATTAATATATCTCCACATTTGCAAGCTTCTACTACACTAATTCTATAAGAACCCGCATATTAGTTAAATCCTAGTTAAATGCTCCAGTGCCAAATTCAAGCCTGTTGTGCAGATAGAAATGCCTTTGGAGAATCTCAAGCATGTATTCAAATTATTTACTGACAGCTGTGTATCCAGCGCTGAGATAACACCCAGTCTCTGCACTCAAATACGCCTCAGCATTGTGGAAGATACACATGAAATAATGACCATGCAATGGGACAAATGAGCAGACTAGCTACCTTGGGAAAGACAGAGAAGCAGGGTCATACCAGGAGATGAAGAAAAGCCAGCCTCCAGGAGTGTGCTGAGACAGCAAGAGAAGGAAGGCAAGTTGGGCAAGTCCATACTTGAGCAATTTGAAGTAGGTATATCTAGTGCCTAAGTGTTTGTGAAATTATGCCTTGAGATGACATCTGTGGAGCTTCCAAAAATAACCCCCATTTGGTATGTTAAGCTATTGGATCAAAAATCATGAGGTATAACAAGTAAACAGCCTTTGCCATATAACCCAGAGTATCCTATGCAAATAAGACAACTAATTTTTAAAAACAAAAAACTAAATTTGTTGTTTGTCTAACATAGTTCTCAGTACACAAACTCTTCCTTGCTTGAGGCCATTACGGTATGTGCAAATAGAACAGTATGAACTATGGCTTATAGAAATAGAAAAGCAAATTTTTACTACACTGCAGATATATGTATATAAATAACAAACAGGTAGCATGTAATAAATTCCAAAGGAGGTGTTTTGTTGAAATTCAGTGTTGAGAATAAACTGTGAATTCAAGTGCACAGAGGAGGCCTGTGGCGGGGCAACAAAACACCCCAGAGCTGAAAACTGCCGTCCCGTTTGCTTTTCACAGATGGTAAGGTTAAAAGATATCAAAATTAAATTATAAATGGAAAAAAAACCTATTAAAATTCTCTTATCGAAGTATGATACTAAAACATTTGTTAGGCACATGGAAAACCTTTTGTGTAAATAAGAAATAAGAAAAAATGGCCATCACTTAATGCAATAGAGTGCATTTCTCCCATTAGCTCCCCCCTTCCTACCTCTAACTTTTATCCACATTGTTTTATAACATTTTAACAAAGTTTGGGGTCTGCAGCTGAGCCAGTGTGAGGTCAGTGCATCAAGAAAGTAAGTCCCTCCCTGGGACACACCGGGCCAGGGAGGGAGCTGGACTAGGACTGGCTCTCGACCTACTTCTGCTTACTCCACAGAATGACTCTGGAAGGGGAAATTCCTAACCTGTTTTGTTCCACGTCTTTCTCTGAAAAGTGAAATTATTAATGTCTGTCCATAATAAAACTACTGGGAAGGTCACTTAGCTTGTAAATAAGTTCCACAAGTGTTTTCAGTAAAAACTTCCTGGTTTTAAAATTGGGAAAAGCAGAATAGTCCTCTAAGGCTAATAGTCTTTCTCTTTTGTGCATTCATAACTCAGCGGCCACTTGATATAACATTTCCATAGAGATCCTGCAGTGTCCACATTGGTTTTCTTCTGAGATAGTCTAAAATTATGTCACACTTTTAGTTTTATGTGTTAAATATCATTATTTATATTTATAAAGTTTATATCTTTATAAACTTATTTTGAAAATTCTCGAAATACAAAAAGGAATGTTGTATGATTGCTATTTTGTGTGCAAACTGCTATTTTCAATAGAGAGCTCTTAATTAGAAACATCAAGAAAAGGGATATTAGGTTTTTATGAAAGAAAATGTGATGAGTTTATAATTTTTCCCCTAGCAATGGCTTATTCAGGGAATTTTTTTTTAATGTTAAGTTAATGATATGAAAAGTAATCATCCTTCACCAAGACTTCAGGATATAGGTTAGTCCTACAGAACAATCCATTTTACTTTTGATGATGCACTTGCGTTATACCATCTCAATCAGTAGCAAGTCACACCCTTAATCCCTTTTTGATGATGGAATTCATGTGAATTCAAGAGGAAACATAATACTCTTTGCTCTATTTCTTGACAGCAGAGAAGTTGACCTATCCTTAATATCGGTTACTGAGATGTAACACAGAAAAATATTCTACCAAACATATGTGGTAAACTTTATACAAAATCACTTTATAAAGCCAGTCATCTGAATTTCTTTTTTGTCAGAGAATATTTAAGGTCTTCATGAAGAATTGGTGAGAAATTAAAACACTCTATATGAAATTTTATAGCATATAGAAAGGTTGACATGCAGAAAACAACTAAAACTTAGATGATACTGCTTAAATACTTAATATGTGGCTGTTTTATGCTGAACATGGAAAGAGTGAGCTCTTGAACTATTTTGGGTATATCCTCATCTTTCCTATGAATCATTCTTTATTCTCTTTAAAACCTACCTACCCAGGGTCCTCTCTCCTCAGTCCTTGTTCTCTGCTATCAAAGATGATTAGCTAGCTAACCTAATAAACAAGTCTAAGCTGATGTGTCAATTTCAAGCCCACCCTACTCCTCCTTCCACAAATAACTTACTTGCATTTCAAGAACAGCCTACCTGAGACTTTACCTGCCACCTTGGTTATCCCACCCAAAGAAGATGGTTCTAATGGTAAGAAACTCAGAGTAGGTAAAAGGAAAGGGAAGCATATGACAGACACAGAATTTTTAGAGGAGCAGGTCCTTGGGACATCATGTTTACAACCACTTTCATCTTTGACCCTACATCAAAAGGAAACCAAGATGTTGTTATTCCAAAAATTAACTATGACAAGTCCAAATTGTCTCAGGACCTTGATTTTTACATACCTGCATTAATCTCTGCTTCCTGCCATGACCTAAACCAAAACAATAGCTTCAGAATACAGAGAATCAGAATGAATTCTGGCGGGAAAGCCAGATGCTGCTACCACATAAGCAATTATGTGCTAATTGATTTTAGTGAATGGATCCAAATAGGAATCACTGAATTCCATTTTAAAGGCTATGTTTTTGACTAGTACACAAGAAAATCAAATAAAGGGAAAATATTTAAAAGAAATGATCTAAATCATTTTAATTTTCAAAACATGACTAGATTACTAAGAATAAGGGGCAAAATGAGAAAATACAGAAAGTGTATAATCGTGGAAGGATATAACTTATGATTCATACATAAAAAGAGATCCTTACAAGATGAAAAGAGTTGTGGAGATGGATGATGGTGATGGTTGCAGAACATTATGAATGTATTTAATACTACTGAACTGTGTGCTTAAAAAATGCTTTAAGATGTTACATTTCATTATATGTATTTTACCACAATAAATTTGATAAAAAGAGAGATCCTTAATGACAAGCTTAGTACATATTCTGCTCTGAACATATAGTTGATGTCTTTTTCTGGCAAATCAATAAAGTAAGAATAAAAAGATATTTTGAAATCCTATGTCCCCCCCTGCAAAAAAAAAAAAAAAATCATCCTTCAGAAAAGCATTATTTAAGGAAAACTTTCCCAATGTGCTGCCTTCATTTTAGTTCTCACTACCAGAGGAACAGTAATATGCCTTATAATGAAAGATATTTGTTATTTTTATATGGTATATATAGTGCTTCATCTCAGTAGATTTTTATCCAAGGTAAGAAGGGATGGTTTGATATTCAATGACTAGTAATTCTTTCAAGTACTAAATTTAATCTGGAACATGTCCTCAGTTACTGAAAAGAATGGGATATATATAGTAAAGTTTATATTGACAATGGATATTTCATGTGGTAAGCCTAAAAAGTACTGTGAAATGAGGAGACTTGAAGCATATCTGCAGAACTACTTAGTCAAGATCCCAATCTAGTTTATATTGTGTAATGCACATAAATTTCTCTTGGAGTGATATATATTGCAAATTATGATTGTCACATCCTTGTCACTTGCTTAGCACCATCACTATTGATTGGCAGGTCTATAATTGTGTGTAATTCTTCCTCTGCCACTCTACCAGCTGGGTGGCTGTACTTCTAGCAAAAGCCACTTCTTTTCTTATTTCCTCATGGCACCATGCTCTTCCCAATGCCTTGGCTAATAGACTGGCCTTTGTTGTTTATGATCATTAATTCCCACTCAGGCCCATGGCAATTCTGTGGTTGGTTGCTTAGCCCAGTCAAAAACACTGGAAGTTAACACAGTTTCCATGCTGATGGATAAATATGGCCGTCTAGTCACTCAAAAGGCTAAAAGTCTGCTCGATATATTTTTTAAACTATTCTGGGATTTTTTTTACCTTTATTCTGTTTATTGGAATTATTTTTCATCTATCGTTGTGTTTTAAATATAACTTAAGGTTGTGTGGTATACTTACACAAACTTTCCATTTCTCTGCAATTTTAGAAATTCATTAGGCCTTTTTGACAATGTTTGTACAACATTTGTATTTGAGCTGAGAAGAAAAGGGGATCTGTGTGATGATTTTTATTTCAACATTCCTTTAAAGTATGAACCAATAAAAAAAAGGCTATTAGAATTTTTAATATAACACATTATCAAAAACACTTGTCACCTTTCTGAGTGCTCTAATCAGGCAATTGATATGTATTTTTCAAAAGATAAATGAGGGAAAAAAACAATTATTATATTAAATATATTTATTTTAATACCTGTACTCATATGTTGCCTTTAAAGAACATCAATAAAATTTATGGGTAGAATAGTACACAAGCAATTCTCCTTAAATACAAATTAAACACATCTCTTTAAGAGAAGGTTGAATTATACTGGTGGGAGAGGCACTAACCCTGGAATATTAATACACATTTATTGAGCATTCACTGTGTTCAAAGCACTGTGAAGGAGGGAAAACGTCCTTGTTTTTACAATCTTTATTAACTGAAATTCTGTAGAATGAAGTAAAATCCTGAACTGACATCATTTAATTTGAAGTTTTTCCTCACCAAACTAATTCATCTCAGAAAACAGCAAAGTTTAAAAAAAAAAAAATACTATCAGTAAGAATGATTTATTTCCTTGGTTTGGAAATTTCCAAACCACCGTATTCTGCCCTGTCAAAATATATTCATTGGGGAATTTTTAGCTTTTATACATTTCTTTTGAACTTAATCACATTTTCACATCTAGCTAGTTTCATTATTAAATAAAAGAAAAGGTGATTCCCCTCTTGTACTGGAGGAGACCACAGACTTGAATGATGCTCTAACTTCTAGGTTCTGCTATAGTAACACTGAAACCAGAAACTTGTGGGAGAAATGTCACTTTATCTGAGAGAGTAAAATCAGACTCTAACAGGAAGTAGCAAATTCATCTTTTTCGTTTTTTTAAATCAACTCTTTGCTAAAGACAAGTAGTTTGAAACACAGAGCACTCTTTAAGTCACACTTCCTTTATGTAGATCAAAACCAAAGCCACTGGGTAGTGCTTTCCCCGAAGGAATCTCTAAATAACAGATGGGGACATTTTCAGATGGATTCATTTGTAGGCGCGACATTCATTGCCTGTATCATAGTTCCTGAAAAATAAAGGTAAAACCTCAACTAATTTTTACAGCATGAAAATCTAGCTTGAACCCTACCTTTGTTAAACAGGTTAATTAGGTTTTCATTGTCATAAATCATTAAGTACTATTTTGAATATTTGGGCCTTTTACTTAAATTGTCTACTTCCCAGGTGAGGTATAAACCAAAAAAGATAGTACTGTGTGTGTCAGAACTTAAGCTCCCCTCTTTGCATTTTAGCATTTAGAAACTTTGAAGAGTGGTTTTGCTTTTGTTTTAAAGAAGATAACACATGTGTACATTATTCAGAATGAGGGAATAGAATCTAAAACATAATTTGTAAAAAGACTTCAAATATGTTTAAAGATAACAATATCAGATTTTCATTGCCCATTTCTCTACCTTTGTCAACAAGGTACTTCCTAAGACTTAATGAGCTCCTTCCTTCCAAAAGAAAATAAAGACTGTTTTGCTTTCAGATTTATATTGTCTCTCCAACCTTATAACTGCATGTGCATACACAACCATTTCTTTCTCTCTTGCAGGTGGCGCAAACCAGGAAGGGGAAATCTGTGGTTTAAATTCTTTATGCCTCATCCTCTGAATGCTGGAGGCTTGCTGTAGGCTGTATGCTGTTAATGCTAATCGTGATAGGGGTTTTTACCTCCGACTGACTCCTACATGTTAGCATTAACAGGGTATGATGCCTGTTACTAGCATTCACGTGGGACAAAATGCTGCCGTGGGAGGATGACAAAGAAGCATGAGTCACTCTGCTGGATAAACTTAGACTTCAGGCTTTATCATTTTTTAATTTGTTAATCAAAATCTGATCCCTGAGATGTTCCACTTTAAGTTTTAAGATTAAGGTTATTTAAAAGATTTATCAGCAGTATCTTGAATGCAGACATTTTCACTTTAATCTTCAAGCCCACATCTATGTTTTTATCATTAATAGAAAATGTGTTTGTGTCATTTTGAATTCAAAGTTATGGTTTGTTCATTATAACTTTTCGTAAGCACCTTTGAAATATGTGGAAAAAATACAGCTAAACACATTCTAAAACAAATCTCTATAATATCTTTGTAGTTAAAAATTAGAAGGACTGCTGTGTACTCCAGTTACATCATGGATTGTCTGACAACATTTTTAAAAACATTTAGAAATTGATATTTTCCTCCGTGTAACAATTTTCTATTTAGACATCTTCAATTTCAAATTAAAACTTGTATGTGAATCTTAAGGGGAAATTGAAAGGCACTGAATTTGTTTTTTAAAATCAAATATTGTCAACTAGCATGGTAAATGACATATGAGAGCTAACTACCTGTTTTTTCCCTACAAGATGAAAAGATCTACTCAAAATATTTCATATTTGAAGGCCCAAATCTAGGTTCAAGTTCAATAGCTTAGCCGCATAATGTGGAAGCAGAAGATCCAGTGTTCCTCTCTAAACCTGTTTCTTCATCCATAGAATGGGGATAATACCTTATAAGGTTGTTGTGAGATTTACATGAGATAGGGGATTATTTTGGAAGATAATCAAGTGCTACATTAACATTGTAGTAAAATTAATCTGATAACTAGTCCCCCTACTTTCTTACAGAAAAGCTAATGATTTGGTTTATAGAATTCTTAAGGTTTGAATTTCTGTGCAATTTTTCTACATAACTAATATATCACTTAGAAATAGGTAGCCAATTATAATTGTTAGTGTATTTAATATCTACTTGTTTAGCAACTCTTCTCAACATTTTGCCAAAGGTATTCACTGTAACCAAATAAATCTCATGAGTTTTTAGTTGTTTTAACATAACTCTTATGGCCCCTTTCCTTTTGCAAAGTACAAATTATAATATCAGAAGATATTTGCACAAAAAAAAAAGACAACAGAAAAAAAATTATGAGGATACTAAGGGGAATGTTCCTCCCTGCTAGGGCATAGTATTCTCATGTAAGAGCATCCCGTTGGCCTTGCCCCCCTTTCTATTAAGTTGTGTGTGCTGCCAAGATAATTTTTTCCTCTTAACCTTTGAAATGAACTCATGGCTCTATGGAGCTCCCATGTAGGTACATCACATTTGAGGGTGTTTCTTTGGACTATTCATTTGATCTGCCACTGTGTATCTACAAGAGGAGTCCTTGTTTTGAGTTCCAGTTCTTCAAAACCTGCTTGCTTGCTGCCTTCAGACACAGTCATAGGGTGTTAGGACTAGAATAGACTATTCTAGCATGACCTTCCTGTTGTTACAATAAAAAGGTATGGACATCACAAATACATTTTAAGAAGAGCTATGTGTGAAATGCCTTATTTCAAGAGCATTCAACTATACTACATGAAACTTAAGTGAGTTACTTAATATCTCTCTATACCTCAGCTTCCTTATCAGAAAATGATGACTACATATTTCATAGCATGTAGGCTTACATGAAATAATGCATTAAAAACAAAGTATTATGCATGAAGTGTTAAACACAAACTTAAATCTTGTACATTTCTGTCATCTAAATCAAATGACCTACTAGGAGATCTTCCCAAGGACACTCTAGCTCCAATCTAACTATTAATGTAATCCCATGATAACAACCCAAAGAACCTAGATATTGCCAGGTCACTGGCTTTTTCTCTGATGCCCAACCCTCCTAGGCTTCCTGATCATAGATGGATTCCTCCTGACCAATATATCCAGTCATTCCAAAAATTCTTGGAGCACGAGTTAAGACTGAATGTGTGTTTAGGCTGGTGGAAGTGGGTCAGTAACAAGGAAGTGAAAGGGAAAGGAGGTTCTCTTGGGGATAGGGAAAGTAACAGCATCCCAATTTTGTATGCTGAAGACTGAAGTGAATGAAACACTAAATTATACAGGACATGGCTTCTTTTTTAAAAATTTCAAACTGTTAAAAGGATTGTTGTCTAGGCTCTGACCCACTTCCCCAGAACACTGAATTAGAGACCTCACCTTTCCTATTTACTGTCAGCAATTAGATGGACCCAGTAGCTAAAAAATTAAGGGGGAAAAAAATAGAACAATAAGGAGGAAAAAAAGTGAAGTCAGGGGATTGCAAAATATATCCAGAGCATAGAATATTAGAAATTTTCTGAAAATAAAAGGGAGCCAATGCCTCAAAGCAAGTGGGGAAATGTGAAAAGAAAAAGGAGCTTGAAGAAAAATAATAAAAAGTGTCCATAGATGGGAAGCATGCAAAAAAAGCTGACCGAGTATTTGGTTCTCTACTAATAATAACTGAAAAACAGTGAAACCAAAACTTGCATGCGTTCAGCTTTCCACTTTGGTTTCAAATTCTCCCATAACAATAAGGATAAGGGAAGTAACATTCACATAAAGGTTTTGTTTTTTTTTCTGTTACTCTCGTATTTTGACAAATCTAAGTGTTCCAGTATTAGTCTTCACCCATCTAACACATGAAACTACTGGATTTTTTGAGGTGGATTCCTCAAATGCCATCACAATGGTGTCTTCTCTATCTTCAACTACTCTTCCACCCTTCTATGGAATGCTCAGGGATTTCCCAGTTCACTGGCACTTAACTCAGTGTATCCTAATTTGTTTTCAGGAGTGAATGACTTCATTAAAAATGATACCCTCGAGTGACAAACCACCTGCATATTCATATCCCTCTCAAATGTTTACTAGTTTGGTCACATCATTATTATCCTAAGTCCAATTCTAAAAACAGAAATTAGTTTAAATACAGTGAACATTTCCTTTTCACCATACCCCTAATCTGAAGGAGGTGATCTTAGGTAAATAAAAGTTCATTACAGCCAACAATTAACTCAAAAGTTCTACTGTACCTGAAGAGTGACAGCAGTGATTCTCACCTGGGAAGCTTGTCAAGATGCAGGCTCCTAACCCTAGAGATTCTGATTCTGTAATGGAGCTGACAACACTACATTTTTACCAGACTGACCAGGTGATCCAGATGCAGGTTGTTCATAAACCAACTCTGAAAACAGTAGTTTATACACAGTGCTGCTATTAATGTGGTTACTAGGAATGGTGCTCAACAGAAATCCTGCAACGAACAGATGTCTATTTACACACTATTCATTCTGTGTAATGAGAGAGTCTACAACATGGGCTTAGTAAGAGATGTCCTGTGGTTGACCTCATTGAGATAAGCAGCGATTAAATTCCAAATCTCATCATTCCTCCCCATCAAAACCATCCTAACCACCTCAATAAAATCCACCTGACTTCAAAGTTCCCCAGTGAAACTAGCTGCCCTGTGTTCTACCACCAGCTGCAACACACCAATGCTAATACTGATTAACCCCAAGCCATCAGCTGCTGCTTAGTGTAGTAGAGCAGAAAGGACGATGAGAAGATTGGATGCCAGTTCTTGCCTTGCAAGCCATGGGTTAACTAAAGGAACATCACAAATGTCACTGCCATCCCATCTCACCCTGTCACTTGTGCTGTCAAGGCTTCGACAATTACTATACCCAGTCCCCACTTAGGAAAGTCCTGCCCTTTCCCAAATGCCAGCAGCTCAGCAATTTCAGATCCCTTAACCCACAAGCACATGGTAAAAGAACTCTGAAAAGGATTACAGCCAGAAGTGATCTTTCTCCTCTGCCCTCCCAAAGTTCGTAGCTCCCCTATAAAAGTGCTTCACATTGTGCCTCATGTTTGGTTTGTTATTTGTGTACATATCATCCTCTCTTCTAGATTGAGCTCCTGTAGGAAATGTGAGACTCATTTTTAACTTTTCTGTATTTCGCCCAGCTCAGGGCCTTGCTCAGTTACTTAAATCGAATGGGAAAATAAATGTATCCAAGTCTCCACTGATATTGGAAATTCAACTTATTTTCTGACGTTAGACACTATCTATACCTGGATTATGTGTCTGCCAATCTGAGGAACTGTTTTTGAAATTAACTTGTATTGGTTCATTACAGACCACTCAAGCATCAATTTTGTTTTCCCTAAATTCTGCAAATCAGGAAGCCAGTATCAATATTTACTTTAAGAAAATTCCATTATTAAGTATATATTTGAAATTTTGTCCTCAGTATTTTCTATCTCTACAGGTAATCTTGACATAATAACACTTAACTTTGAGATGCCTTAGAAATAGCACGGCATTAGTAGTCTCCCCTAAAACTAAATATTTTCCCTTTCCTTCTATATATTTAACCACGTATGAAATCTAAAACCTGCTTATTGGATAAATTTATCTTTAAGAAAAATATTACCTATATTTATCAAAATTTAAAATATACCTATAAGAATTTATTTGACCGGAAATCGCCTATAAGAATTTATTTTAGGGCCAGGCACAGTGGCTCATGCCTGTAATCCTAGCACTCTGGGAAGCCGAGGCGGGAGGATTGCTTGAGCTCAGGAATTTAAGACCAGCCTGAGCAAGCGTGAGACCCCGTCTCTACTATAAATAGAAAGAAATTAGCCAAACAACTGAATTTAGAAGAAATAGGAAAAAATTAGCCGGGCTCAGTGATGTGTGCCTGTAGTCCCAGCTACCCGGTAGGCTGACGCTGGAGGATTGCTTGAGCCCAGGAGTTTGAGGTTGCTGTGAGCTAGACTGATGCACGGCACTCTAGCCCAGGGCAACAGAGTGAGACTCTGTCTCAAAAAAAAAAAAAAAAAAGAATTTATTTTACAGACCTACTAATATATGTGTAGAATCATATATATATATAAAGTTACTAACTGAAGCATTATAGTAGCAAAAATTAAAAATCAACCATCAACTGGGAATATGTTAAATAATGGTATCCTTATAAATGTAATACTAACTTCTAAAACAGTAAAAAAGAAAAGAGAATGAGGAAAATGGATCAATATATGGCAGGAAAGGAGAAAAAACGAGTGCAAAGAAATGATAATTGCAATAAAGTATATATGAATTAAAATTTATTTATTAAAAGACAGTAATTCCAAGTCTGGATTTTAAAAAAATAATGGTTTTATGCTGTTTACAAAAGACAGACTTAA